TTATTATTATTATTATTATATTATTATTGATTATTATTATTATTATTATTATATATATAATATATATAATATATATATATGAGTAATCTATATTAATATATATATAGTATATATATATATATATATAATATATATATATATATATAATATATGTACACAAACCGCCCTATCCCCCTCGTGGTGTTATGAGAATACACAGCTTGTTCACCGTCATCTTTTCATCGCCATTCTTTCCTAAAACGCTTTTTATTCCTCGTTTGCATCACACCCAGTCTGCCAACGCCGGACGCACTCACACACCTTACTATCTGAAAGCATTTTGCACTGATTAGATTCTCAAACTCGAAGGCGAAATGTTCATCCAGTCTGGAATCTCATCTCTGTGTCATGTTTAGAGAGCTGCGCGATTTAAACTGCAGCAGACCAAGCGTTTTACAAAGTTTCTTTTCTTCTCCGATGGCACGTTCTTGCGGATTTCTCTTGGCCAATCTCATGAAATTTTCTCGCTTATGAATTTCATCTTGTGAGCTTCAGGTATCTGACTGTTGGAAATTTTGCTGTTTTTGTTCGTTTAATTCTGTCGCTATAGTTATTTGTTAGCGCTAACTTTGATAGGAACTACTCTTTCGATGATAGTTTAGTGGCTCTCGACTTTATGTACAGATCTAATTAGTAGTTTGGGTGTATAAAACAAGTCGTATAAGTGTAAGAAAAGTACACCGTTCCTTGAGTGCATTGTTTTTAACCGATATATTGGCAGTTTCGTAATACAAGGAGCTTCTATTGTAACACGTTCGGTTTCTCTTACTCCTTGCTTTTAATTTAATTTTTCAAATGTGACCATCTGTGCTCGTAAACCTGTAATCACTTCCCTCATGTGGGACAGAAATGTATAATTCAATACGTTCTGGTTGCAGTAATGCGTTTTCTTTAGATTGCTGCATTCCAGTGTATGCAATAGTAGGTTAGTATGCGAAATTAAATGTTTATTCTGGTTGATTTGGTTTGAGTGGAAGTGAGCCTTTCCCACTATCAGTAAATAAAAAAAAGGGGGGGTGCACGGGGTTTCTGCTTGAGAAGCATTAGTCGCTTACATTTCTGAGTAATCTATGTGAGTGTATTTTTTTCTGAAGAGCCAAAGCCCCTTAAAGGTTCACCACAAACGCCAGTCATGAGACTCTAGAGCGGCGTGGGCTTTGTGTTGAACATTTTTTCCTGTTCGTCATAGCCCAGGAATTGGATATTTTGATCTTTTGCTCTTCAGATTTACGATTCCTTGGATGTGCGGAATTCCCGAGCCAGAAGCCTTCCTTTGCAATGTAGCTTTGCAGGGAAAACCTGTTAAGTGCAACAGATTCATCAGAGAGGAGAGAGAGGAGTGGGTGTGTGTTGTGTGTGTGGTGTGTGTGTGTTGTGTGTGTGTGTGTTGTGTTGGGTTTTGTTGTTATGTATTGGTAAGGGAACCTTTATTGTGATCAAAATTTTATAAACTTCTAAAAAAGTTTTGATGAAAATTGAAATAACGATAATGATTATAATATTGTTATTAATATTCATGTCATTAGATACTACTTCCTCATTACAGTTATAAAACATTCATATTTCAATATAACTGCTATTATTATCATCACCTCCATCGCTCCATACCCTCATTCCATCAACACCACTATCACCATAATACAATACTCACCAACAGTTCTCTTCCCTTCTCTCTCTCTTCCTTCCCTTCTCCCCCCCCTCCCCGGACTTCCCTCCACTGCCATCCCACTTCACCCTCCACCCTACCTTCCCTCTCACGCCCAACCCCACCTTCCCCCTCCACCCCCACCCATA